CGCAAAAATCAAACGTAAATATAATTTTAACATTGTTACAATATCTTAAATTTTAAAAAAGCGCTAAAGGTGTAACTCAAAAATTTGTCTACGAAACTGTCGCAAAGTTTTTCGCCAGGATTCCAACTTTCCAAAATTACGCGACCAGCGGTCTAACTACCCAAATACGATTCGAATTTATTTTTGTTATCGATTCGAACCCGATTTGAAAAGCTCTCTGCTCTAGCCATTAGGCTACGCGGTCGAAAATCTCGACGTCTTATCTACAGCGGAACATTGCTAGAAACGCATATTTATGTATTGGAGAAATAGAATAAAAAAGTCATTGTTCATTCTCATACTGTCAATGTCAAACATACGACAGTTTGTGGTCACATAACCATACAGATAGGATTGTCGACAAATAGTTTTGAAATGTTTGATTGACTGAATTAGCGTTTATAAAATAATTTATGACTTGATGAGTAATTTAGAAGTTAAGAACGGTACACTGAGCGACACATTATATGAAATATATTTAGATATCTATCTAGTTGGCATAAACGATTTATTGCTGTGAAAGTAATCAAATTTGTTTTAGTAATTTTCTGTTTTCAACAAGTGTTCAATAATTTAAATTGAAGAATTTCAATTCATTAGAGTATTGCTTACTAAATAGATTACATTATATCGGTTCAAGTTAAGAGACTCTTACTTTATCTGAGTTCGCAAATCAGTGAAATTTACTTTGGGTTCTTAGGAGTTCATGACAATGCAATCTATTCACAAAGGAGTTTCAAACTACAGATAATATATACAATAAAATAAAACTCCTTGGGCTGATTGAAAACTGTAATAGTTTTGATTCGGACATATATATATATATATTTTGTTTTCAACCGACTTCAAAAAAGAAGGAGGTTCTCAATTCGACTGTTTCTTTTTATTTATTTTTTAATGTTAACAAACCTCAGAACTTACGACTGAATGAATCGATTTTGATGATTCTTTTTTCATTTTAAAGCTGAAAGGTGCTTCCCATGTGGTCCCATATTAATTTAACTGGTATTGAATCTTGGGAAATGCGTAGGGAACCCCCGAAAATCAATTATAAAATGATGATGAATGAATGATACAGAGCGAGATGTTTGTAGTTTTGTTTTTCGTGAGTAAAAAAAATTGACTTGTTAAATTACCGGCGCTTCGGACTGTAGCAAATAAGAACGCCATCTATCGATAGTAGCAAAGACATGTTTGTAAAAAAAAGATGATAATGCGCTAACGATATACTAGGTGCGACCAAGATGACAATAGTCATACGACGTTAATCCACATTAATTATAAAGATTGCTCGAATTCGTCGAAATGTGCTCGAACACAACATTCTAAAATTTTAAATAGCTGCTAAGGTGTAATGTACTCGACATTGCAAGTTATACGATTCAAATAATAAGTTTTTGTTGAAGCATCCATCGATCGCAGCGCCATCTGAATAGCGAAAGCTCTATGTATCGCCGTTGATATAACATTTACGATAGGTACCTAAACTAGCGAATGTCAGGACATTTTCAGAAATTGTTATAGCAAGAAATCGCAGCCCGATAAGATTGCCTTTTGTTTTCTTGCAGGCGTTCGCTTAAATGGCAAACCTCTTGTTAATGACTATCAACATTTGCGATGTTGCGTTATCGATCGCAGTTTCAGGTTTATTCTTTCATGTACATATATTACTAGATCGATTTCGCATGTGTAGGCAACTCTGATATATGTCGTTCATTACAAAATACATTAAAAATTACCGTTGAATATTTATTGTTTAACCGTTACTATGAGTATTGAATTACCTCCAATTTTGACTGGCATTTATTCTGCCAATTTGACATTTTAAAACTTCGGCGACTGTACTGTTTGCAAATGTTCGATCGTAGACTATTATGCGTTTGACTTAGATGGTATGAAAGTTAATATTGCACGTTTTATTTGAGTCCTTTTAATGTCGACAGCAAAAGGATGGCTCCATTCCGTTGCGAACGTTAAGTACTCTGAAGGGGGAGAGTGGAGGTAAGAATTAACTAGTGTAACTTAGTGATTCCGATGTCCTCTCTTCGAAATTCAATCTGTTATTAATACCGAATACCACTTGTGCAGGCTAAAGCTTTGTGTACGTTCCATTCAAAGTGAAAGTCAAAGTTGGAATTTCTTAATTCAGTCAAAGTTTTTCCTTACTATTAGAGTAGCTAGAACGCATTACTGTTGTAAAACGATATTCGAAATTGTTTGTATGCTGGTAAGGATATAACAATGGATACACCAAGCATTGCTTCAAATGCTAAATGTAGATAAAAAGCGTTAAGATTTTCGTCGGTGTGGCAATCAGCCGTTTAGCTTAGCGGCTAAAGCGTCTGTCCGCGAATGCCGAAGATGTGGGTTCGATTCCCACAACGGCGACAATCTTTTCGTACTTTTTCTACAAATTTAAATTTTACAAACTGTCTTTAATTGTTTATGCTTGGTTGTTTGTGGATATCACCTATTATATTATAAACTTAATGCATGTACCGAGAAACGACCTTCTCGTTTTTGCCAGTCTAAACCTCGACGCGATGTGGTATGTTCTCGTAAATACGTGGATGTTATTACTTACATACATACATTACCCGGCCATGTCAGCGCGGTAGCTGATTCGCTGTAAACGTTTTGTTTGACCGGCGTACTTAATTTGAGACATTATACAAAATTGGGGTGGCGTTTCGCTCCCAGAGGCATCCGTGAAAATTCATAAAACATTCATAGCTGTTTCGGGTCTGTTTAATTTAAATATTAATCTTTGAACGCATTCAGCCAGGTATGCCATCCGTACTATATCTATACGAAATATGTAGTATTCCATTTCTGATACCCCTACTGTGTGTATACTATAACATATATGTAGTACGAAATATATTAGGATTAATATATGTTTAAACTTAACTTTGTCCCAAAATGCTATATTATTTTGAAGCGTATTATTTTTATTACATATTATTTCGAACAAAAGAGTCGTGATAGCTCAGTGTTTGGGCGCTCGCTTTAGTTAAACATACTCGAGCAGCCTGAGTTCGATCCCGGTGCCGGCACGAATGAAATCGCTAATTTTAGATTCTTCCTTATCATGTGCTCAGCGGTGACGGAAAACATCGTGAGGAAACCTGCATATTTTCTCAATAATATAAAACAATTTCGAAGATGAAGAAGAAGTCGCGTTGAGGGCTATGCTATTAACCCTCTATACAAGATTGAATAATATGTAATCATCCAAAAAAACTGCTGGCAGCCCTAGCCAGGGAGTGACCCATATTTCTCGGCTAATACTTGTAACATAACACGGTACCGTTTAATAGTCGCTGTTAGTAGTTGCAAGACCCCTGGCTGCTGCTGATTTTATACCTAAATAAGTGTCTATCATTGCATAAAATAAAAATAACAAAAAGAACAAGACCGCAGAGTTTCTTGCAGGTTCTTCTCTGTGCAGGTCTAGTTTAGTGAACCGGTGGTAGATTTTTTGTTGACGTTCAATAAGAGCTTAAGTTAGGCCTATATTGAATAAATATACCTTTGCATAATTAAGTGCTTCTGAACTGGCCGTGTGTTCTGTAGCTCATGGTTCTTTTATTAAGACCAGTCCATCAATAAACTCCAACTACGTGTCTCGGTGTTTGCATTGTTAAGTTTTAACTGATATGAAAATACGTACCAACACAAATTTAATATTATACGTATACTAGCTGCTGCCCGCGACTACGTCTGCGTAGAGGGGTGAAAATTTAGGCTTGTATGATTTTTGTATGCTGTATCATGAAAAGATAGAAACAAATTTTATATAAAAAATTAAAAAAAAATTCGGGGTGGACCACCCTTAATGTTTAGGGGGATAAAAAATAGATGTCCGATTCTCCACCCTGGCCGATACGCAAACAAAATTTTACGAAAATCGGTCGAGCCGTGTCGGAGGAGTTCAATTATAAACACCGTGACACGAGAATTTTATATATTAGATATTATTCGGACGAGACGAGAAAACGAATATTAAGGCTGTTCATTGGACATCACATTATTAAAGGAGCATTATGTCAAAGCATGTCTCCATTTCAGCAAATCGATGCAGTATCTAAAAGCTGCAGCAAAAGGAAACGTCGAAAGAACACCCGCATGTTTTGGAAATAATAAAAAAAGTATTTCGAAAGATATGTGAAGTCCGCCAATCCGCAGTGGGGCCGCGCGGTGGACTATGCCCTGATACCCTCTGTGCAGCGGAGGACTTTGCCCAGCAGTGGGACATATATAGGCTCTTTCTATACTTTAGATGGATTTACAAATGGAGCTCGATGTTGACCTCACATACAGTAGTACAAGAAATGATTTGTGTGATTATATTCATGTTTTGCATCTTGTGCTTCGTTGTACACCTCCTTCCACCTTACAGTACACCTGAGACAGCGTTGCCAATTAATTTAGAAAAATGGCCCTAAAATCATAATGAAATAGCCCTAAGAATGCAATTTTCAAAAGCCCTAAAATCCCTGTATGTTTAACATTTTTTTACGATAATTGATGTAGCTCAGTTTATACTTATTAATACAAATAGTTGAAATAATTAACAAAACAACACAATATTAAGTTATGAAAATTTCATTAATTACATTCATTTATAGATATTTGGCCTTTTTACTCATTTTGGTCAGTCAAAATAGTGATCCATGCAATATTATTCTTGCTCCTAAAATTGGCCCCACACTTTTTTAGACCTTAAAAAAAGCCCAACATGCACCTGCCTAAATTTGAGGCTAAAACCAGCAAGAAGTTGGCAGCACTGACCTGACCAATCTGACCAATGGCGACATCTATTGCCCAGTAGCGCGACCCCTTCGACATTATTCGGCGATAACGTCTATCAAAGTACTAAATAAAAACATTTCGCATTATCGTACCGAATACAACTTTGTAGCACATTCAGGGCTGGTTAGCGCCCGAATACCGTTCGGATGCGGGCGGAGCGGAATGGCATTTTTCATTTAAAACCGTCAGCCCTACTGCGGAAACAAGTACGAGGCCCAGTGACCCATTTTCGCGCTACGCAGTGTGACGTCATTACGGCATTGCGCTACCCGACCGACCGCAAGGGAACGTCGACTGTATACCGTTGGAATACGATAGAGATTCTATTGCATCGCCCCGCGCCGGGTGTCGACAATGAAAAGTGGAGCGTAACGTTGAAAGCCACGGTCGCTTTTCGAGTGCGCTATGTGAGATTTCAGGGGCGGAATCGCGCGTTGCAATATCGCGTTTATTGCTATAGCGATAAGGTTTCGAGATTATTGCCGAGTGTTTTGTTTTTAATAGGTCAGATGGTTTTGTACATTGTTTGTTGTCGGTTAGGTTTACTATTACATCCACTAGGTTTAGCAAACAAATTGCTTCACGTGTCCGGCTTCAATTCCCGGCTGATATTTAGTTATGTGCTTCGGGATACTATTGGTTTAACCTTTACAGATATATTCACTTGTGGGACTAAAAGCATTGTGCAACTTTTCACCAGCTATTATTTAGTTTCATCTGTAAAATAATAATTTGGAACATCCATTTCGTTGTCGTGACAATGCACGATTAACTAATCGCCGCCATTTTTAATCCAATATGGCGGCCGCCACAAAATGGCTATAAATATGTTAAACAGTAGGTTTAGAAATTTTTAAGTTTTTTTTATAGTGCTAATCTCTGCACTTAAGATTGAACATTAAAACATGTAGAAAAAATACGAAAAGATTTAGGTTTAGACCTTATTATATGGGTATCAAATGAAAGGGCTTGTTTTTATTAAAGACTAATAAAAGTTTGTTATAAAAATAAGCTTGTTAAGGAAGAAAGTAGCAAATTAAAAGGTGGTTAATCTGATGTTGTGATTATATATCAATGGATAGAAAACACGCAAAATTCAAGGGGGTCTTGAGCATCAACTTAAAAACAGTAAATGTTCAGGCGTGTTTTTACCCGACTGCGAGGCGCAAAGAATGGTACTGTGTTTATATAGCCTCATAAGCATGTATGTTTGTTTTATGGCACTCTAGAGACCAAACGCGGTGGTAGGGCCACGCAGCAGCCTCGGCTATTGCACGAATGGGCTGGCTCGTCCGGGTCAGTATCACGACCTCACAGAAGACCGGCGCAAAGTGGGAGTATGATACTTTCGCGTTTCGTCTGGTTAGTGAGGTAGCCGGAGCCCAATTTTCAAAAGGCTGTCAACGCATCTGTAACCCTCGGGTTAACCGTCTGCTCGTTTGGCAACATTCACTTTAAAAAAATGTATAACTCCTTAACGTCCGGTTTCTGAAACACTGATCATCGTAGATGTCAATTAATCAGTTGTCTAACTAACCTAAAGTGGGCCCCGGCTACATCACTCACCAAACGAAACGCAGAAGTAAGAAAATCCCACTTCGTGCCGGTCTTCCGTGAGGTCGTGGTACTTACCCGGACGTACCTGCCCATTCGTGCAACAGCCGGGGCTGTTGCGTGGCCGTACCACAGTTATTTGTCTGTACCCGCTATGATAAGAGCTGGTTTGACGTGTGTAATTGTTTCAGGAGAGGGGCGGCCTGGACAACATGAAGTCGCTAGAGCACTACCTCACAGACATCATGAGGGCTGACACCTCGGAGCATATGAAAGGTGAGGTGTTATAGGAGACCTTAGGCAATGATTGGTCCGAATCGAGTGACCCACAGATAATTGTTCCGGGTCTGGCTTTAATTCCAAAGGACCATTAACGCGAAAGACGTAAACGTGTCGTAAAAGACCAAGCCAGTACCACTGACGACACGATACGCGTGTTCTGCCGACCCCACCTAGATGGGATAAGGTAACTTTTTGCACCTGCCTCTATTGTCTCTGCGCATCGGTTGACTGGGAGAATGCCTTAAGCATTAAGTCCGCCTAAACATGTTTATTTTTTGTGTAAAAGTTTAAATAAATAAATAAGGCTAGGAAGATGAGTAGACCATGTTGACGTGCCATATGTGTGTAGTTGGGAGCTTCCTTAATTTGACGGATCATGTTTTGTCAATCGTGCCGTGTTGTCCACTGTCGCTTTTAAACCGTCTCCAACAAGTAGGAGATTTATATATTTTTTTATGTATTTTTTAAGCAAATACGCGAACACTCTTTCCATTATCATTGCAATAAAAAGCTGTGTAAAGCGCCTATCATGAATGACGTTAACGCACACTCCAATGATAAAGTATAAAATATCTTTGGCATACACATTATAAGCTAAATAAAAATAACGTTTGGAAAACCAATAGTGCGCGTCACACCGCTCATTTAATGATTAAGAGAAAAAAACAAGCCGTACCGTTGACTCCTATGTAGAATTTAGACAATTAAACAAAAAACTTTTTTCTTCCATGAAAATTACTGATGTTAAACACGACATAAAGAGATAATAAACAAAAGTCGGTCTCGAGAAGTTTTTGCGGAACATGAGATAGATTATTTGAATTGTTTCCTTGAAATACGTTAACTCATATTATCATATAAATACCAATCGGTTGTGGTAGAGGCGTTTCAAGAATAGAGCACAAAATAAACCGCGTTGCGGACTGTACAAAACAAAATTTAAGCCATGATACTCTCTGTGGTATAAAGAGATTAATTACATGGATCTTACGTCCCTTAAACATGTCGGGCAAATATCTCGCTTTGATTTTCCTAAAACAAGAAAAAACCTTTCTACAGACATATGAAAATCTCGACTATAAATTAAAAAATACGTTCACAAAACCGAATGACGTTGGCCGCAATACCAACGAGTGGGAGCGAGAGATCTTGAGTGCGCGAATGAGACGGCAACACTCTCCTCCTGCACCCCGCCAAACCCCTTTCAAATTCAAATTAGTTTCATTAGTTAGTTTCATGTTAATTCAAATAAGTCACGGGCAATGTTCAGTTTGTCAAAGTATTTATAATTATTTTATTTCCTTATAATACTCACTCGTCGCTCGTCGTTTTTATTTCTTTTTTCTTCTTTTAGACATTAATGCTCTTGGTTTTTGGCCAGTTTTAAATACTTCTAAAATTATTTAATGTTTAAAACTTATGCTACTATTAGAAAGTCTTATATAGAGAAGTTTGGAGTCTCTTGAAGGAATGTACTCGACTACGAAGTAAAGCACACCTTATTTTTTTCCACCACCCTTTATGGTCACAGTCAATAATATAAAATTATATATTTTATTAATTCTGTTATTAATAAAAAAAATCCAGACGCAAACCACAGCAATACTTCAAGATTCAATTATCGTAGATCTAATTTAAAATTAATAATTTTCAAGACTAAGTGTAGTAACTAGTAGCAAATTTAAAATTAAATTCTTCAATTACAAATAAAAATTAAAAAATGAACATTTAATTCCATTCGAGATTTGAACCAGCCACTCACGAACTTCACGCTGCCCGCGTAACCACTGAGCAGTGGTCGTAGCCTACATACTGGGTTAAGTAGGAAGTCACGTTAGCGGAGAGTTGAATGTGTGAGTAGTTAGACGACGTTTAACGTAATACGCAAACATCTCTATAACATTATTTCTCAAAGGTCTTCAAACTTCCAATTCATCATTAATGATTCACACGCCATTTTTTAAACTACGTTTACCGCTCTTGACAAATGGAATAAAATGAAAACTTTCGTAAAACTTCGTCTTACACGTTAAAACGAAAGGTTTTTTTAAAGAATGTATGATAGTGCCATCTATTGACAATGTGTTTAAAAGAAAGATATCACAGTAGGCTGTTACACAATTTGGATGACTGATCATGGTACAGTGCGAAAGATTCGCACTGGTTAACTAGTTAGATACATAGGTGAGTTAGCGTTAAAGTTAATTGGTTTGTTATTTAGTTAACCGATGGGGAAGAAAGATTCTTGAGTGGCAGCCTCGTCTTGACAATCGCAGTTTAGGACGGCCCCCGCTAGATGGAGTGAAGACCTGTGCAAATGTGCGGAAAGTCGACGAATGCGGGTGGCTCAGGATCGTGCTTCGTCAACTCAACTGTCAATGTTCAATTTTAGAACGAAATCCAGATTTGCTGGCGCCGCGCAGATGAGAATGTTGCAAGAATGGGCGGCCCCGTTCTGGACGCACCACGACCTCACAGAAGACCGGCGTAAAGTGGAAGTGTTAAACTTCCGCGTTCCGTCTGGTGAGTGAGGTAGCCGGGGCCCACTTTAGGTTAGTTTTAGGCGGCAACGCTTTATTACAGGGCCCCGGCTACTCGCAACCCTACAGCTGTTGCTAATGTCAATGGACGGCGGATATCACTTAACATCCTCATGTCTGTAACCGAACCGTCAGTTCGCGTGCCATCTTCTCATATTATAAAAAAAGCCATTTAGCCACTGTTTGGCAAAAGCCAACAGCTCACAGCACGACCTCACTGCAGATTGGCAGACTTCACATATCTTCTAAATATTCTCCCCTTTCTGCAGTAAAAGTAATAAACGGTAAAAATGTCGAGACGGACGTGCCGTGTCACCTAGCGAATTAATTTTCATTTAGCCGTTCGACGAAGATGGACGTGGTTACAAAATGTGTGCAGTGCGTTGTTAGCTTTACTTCGGTGAGCGATTGCAAAACGAAACGTGGCGATTCAGAATAACTGGATGCGGCACGCGCTGTGGAGAGGAGTTATCACATTTTACCTTAAATTAAAAATGTTAAGAAATGTCCTATACATGTCACACTGTTGGGCAAACGCCTCCTCTGTACAGAGGGTATTAGGGCATATTTCACCACACAATTTACACACCCACTGCGGATTGGCGAAATGTTATTTTTGTTATTATTTCGAAATTATGCAGGTTTTCTCACGTTTGTTTTTCCTTCACCGCTGAGCACGTGATAAGTCAGCACTTAAAATTATCAATTTCTTGGTTCCGGCACCGGGAATCGAACTCTGGATGCCCGAATGTATTGAATTAAAAGCGAGGGCCCGCACTGAGCTATCACGGCTCAAATATGTAACGACTAGGTAATGCTGTGTTAAAATATGTCCCGAAATGTTTATTTATATTTATTTACTTTAGAAACGAGGCGTAGTTGAACTTGTCGCTTCCAATGGCTCTAGTCACGCGTCCATTATGCAACTCTCCGCTAGCCTTTTGTGCTTAGGCCTTGAACAGGTTGGACGCCAATTGTTTTCTCGGCGCTGCGACATTGTTCCGTTTCGCCCGAGCGATGTATACAAGTCATATACGTTTATACGAGCGATGTATATAACGTATATACGTATATAGGTCGATATGAACGTGACGAATGCCCTATAATATTACAACATTGAAATATAGAGTGATTTTTTTCTCTTTATTTTTAAAAAGGGTTAAGATTAATAACAGATTATATACGGATTTTGATAACATTCACCTTACCTGATTCAAATCATATTTACACACCTATTTTGGGGTGGGGAAAAAGGCACTGAACTCGATTGATCGTTATGCACAGATACTTACATATTAAAATTATTGATGAAAGTAACGTCGAAAATGAAATTGATAAAATTTTATAAATATTTTAAAATGTACTTATATCTGTACTATATAATCTGTTTGTATAATACAGATAATAATAATATTTACTTTTTACGTAAAACAGCACAATTAATGAAAATTTTATTAATATAGCACTACTTTGATAAAAATAATCTATCTATATAAAAATGAATTGCTGTTCGTTAGTCTCGCTAAAAGTTGAGAACGGATGAACCGATTAGACTAATTTTTGTTTTGAAATATTTGTGGCGGTCCAGAAATGGTGTAAATGATGACAAATTATGGAAAAATTGCATGGAAAATCGAAATAGCAGCAACTTTATTTTCCCATACAAACTGTTCCAAACTACATCATCATTAAACAAACATTTTGTAGGTGCGTTCCGAAAATACTTTTTCAATAAATAATTTAAATGGCAAAACACCGTTTGCTGGGTCAACTAGTCTCTAACAAAACATCTCTTAACAATCCAAAAATAGTGCTAAGAAGTTTGTGAAGCTAAGAACTTCTAGTTCTGTGTTCTAGCATTCAAACGAATTCTACCTAATACTAGTACGGCAGAATAGCCAATATTTTTCAAATAACATGCAAAATGTGGATGACCCTTAACGTCTACTTGAATTCGTAAATCATTACGAACAAAGGTTATTTTCTGACATTTTCGTAAACATATTTACGACCAAATTACGTGTACGTAAAATTTCTCCAATCGCCCGCTCGAAAGAAACCGACTTAATAGAAATTCTGAACGTTCATTAAGAATACTTGTATATAAGTAACACGTAATATGTACTCGATTTTCGCCAGCTATTAAGCGTCTTCTAGTAACGTCTTTCGCACGACTCTAATGCCGAATAATAAATAGAAGATAAATAATAATGCAAGCCCGAGTGGACCGCGCGAGCCGAAGGTTCCGTATTAATTACATTGTCTTTTGCGACTGTTACGAATTGATTTTTTTTCGAAATTATTCCTTTACTTGTTAACTTTATGCCCGGTTTCTGAAACACTGACGCCCGGTTTCAGAAACCGAAGTAGAAGATAATTAATCAGCTGTCAAATGGCTTTTTAGATGTCATTTGAGTTGGCAAAAGGTCGGCTAAACTCTTTGAATTCTGATCATTAAGAAGATG